TTATTTTGTAGAGAAATATTTACTCTACAAAACTGATATAAAGAATAAAAATTATTTAAAATAACTCCATAATAAATTGTGGAGACTTTTGCGTGTTTTGGTCTGCTTTCATATGTTAAAAACCCTTAAAATTTGACTCCCTTCTCTCAATTTTTTGACTATTAGAGCTAGAAGACAAAAATAAATAATTTTTATTCTTTATATCAGTTTTGTAGAGCAAATATTTCTCTACAAAATAAAAACTAAAAAGATTATATATCATGAAATATACCGAAGTTATACAATTTTTTCGAAGTCTGTCTCGTCGCGTAATTTTAAAGACCGATGCAACTTTTCCGAGCTGTATCGCCAAGACCACGTGACCACTCAAAGCAAAATTGGAGAAATTGTGCACCTAGAAGTCCTCTACAAACTGACCAATTTTGAGGGTACATATGAGCGCCCTCTTAAGACTAATATGTACTTAACAACTTTTACATAAATAAGCGTAAGAGTCCTAAAACGATCAACTATATAATAATAACAACAAGGCATATGCTTTAACCTGTAATGCTATATATAAACCGGGCACATTGAACAGTTCGAACATAATTTCAGCTGTGTATTCACGATTTTCTGGTGTATTCAAAGGTGGTTCTGTCTAATAATGGAGAAAATATGACAACAAGTTTTAGTAAGAAGTTTTTTTCCTTTTATTAGCTCACCAATAAAAAATAATGATCTTCTAAAAGATGAAAAAAACTGAATAAACTTTTCTGTTTCTTTCAATTTTCAAAATATTTTACCTGGATCACAACGTAAATATTTGAATAAAGATTGTTCCCAATACTTTTCCATCAAATCCCAATCTTCAACGATACCATGTCTTATTGGATATTTCACAGAGTATCCTGATTTGGAAAGGGAAAAATAAGACTAAATATGACATTAAGATGAAAAGAAGAAGATACCTTTGGCACTAAATGCTTCATCTCCAATATAAAAGTCTAAATCTTCTCCAGACTGGCCAACTCTAGCACCTCCAGGTCTTTCTCTAACAGCAATTGCTAAAATGATGCAAAGAAAAGTGACTGTATTAATCTGCTGGTTGTTGATCAGTCTGATTGTTACCTGATGGGATGATAAACTGCGGTTCGTTATTTGTTGCGTAACCAAGTTTTGTATACCTGTATAGATAAATAACAACACATCATCAATCTCACTTCAAGTTCAATTGTCTCGGTGCTCCTGTTTCGCACGATCTGCAATGGAATGAACATGCCAGAGACATGACTCTTGCCTGTCGATGCAAGCTGGAAGCATCGGGTCGTGCCTTTGGATTAGCTCCATCAGATGTCCGGCGTGGAATTCGTCTTTCTTCTATTCTTCCGCAATTTGACTATTGCTGTGTCCTTTATGATAGTCTATTTTCTCTTACTATTCTCGATTCTATAAACAAACTTGCTACTCGTGTTATTTCTCTTAAATTTGACTATCGTACTCCTATTTCTTCTCTTTTTGTTGTTATCCCTTTCGAATCTTTCTTTTTGTCACAAATATTTCAGGCTTTTTTCAATCTTTTAAATTTATCACGAGCTCAGCTCTCTTTTGATCCACAGTCATCGAATGGAATAATTTTCCTCAATCAGTCATCTTTTGTTCGTTTTTGTCTTTCAGAAAGTGTTTCTAAGTATTTCCTTAATGTTAAAAGTCAACTTTATACCAGTATTTCTGGCTTTCTCATTTATTCTTTTATTTTGTATTTATGCGTTTTTATATAGTTCGCCGTTTTCTCCACCAGTCAGCATCCTGTTTTTTTACCGGCTTATTTAGCTGTTTATTGTTTGACAGGAGCCATCGCGAGGTCCATTACAGGTCGGGGATCTTTTCACACTTTATATAAATAAATTCATGCAAAAGATTAATTACCCAGTTCCATTATCAATAACAACAGCTGGAAGCCGTCCAGTCATAATTCGTTATATCTGAAGCAAGGATAAAATGACATAAACTATGTAGAATGCCGGTATTTCAATGACATTTCCCATGTGAACTTAGAACTTTAGAAGACGATATTTTTAAGTACTCTGTTTAGGACTTGTCAATAGCTCTTTCCTTTCGTTCATTAGGGAATAGAAAACGTTGTTTTTTTCTCTTGTATATAAATTCTATTGATAGTCGTGAATGAATCAGAATCATCGATGAATTGTACATTTCGTTCATTCAAATAGTTCAATTATTTATACTACCACAAGTTTAATTCTGTACAGCTCGTTGTTAATGTCTACTTAATAAAGTAAATACTTTAATATAGTACAAATGACTCATCTCATTAGCCAATAGAAATATTCAATGCATTCCCATTCATGAATCATAGTAACAGCATAACGTCTAGTTGTTAGAATGGCAGTTTTGTGAGAAATTTATTATGCTGTTATTCTTTTTCTGAAGAATCATTTCTTTAATCAAACCGATTCCGTACACAAGTGTCATCTGCTGTAATAGTATCAAGTAAGAAGAACGATGTTGAAGATGGTCAACATCAACGTATATATACTACATCGAATAAAAATAATACGAAAGGATCGGAACTATATCCTTTGCTTACTAGTTAATCAATAGAAATTAATCAGCAAAAAAGTACATCAATATCAACGTGGAGAAAAAAATAAAGTTCATTTAGGGTAGTGGAAAAGTGCTTTTTCATATTCAGCACACTCGATAATTCCGAATATTTTCTATTTTTCGTGAAGGATACTGTTAAAGTTTAAGAAAAATTGTCAAGCAAAATAGCGAAAACAAATTTCCATGGAAGAATAATATTGGTTTCGAAATTTTTCTTAAACTTTTTGTAATACCTCTGGCCAAAAATACAAAATCTTCGGGATTATCGGGTGTGCTGAATACGAAAAATCACTTTTCCACGAATCTAAGCGAACTTTATTTTTCTGTCAGTGACATATTTTCGAGCAAAGAGTGTTGACACAGCCTGCTGGGTATTATATCTATGTCAACCAAAGAGTCATATCAGGATGATGTAAGTACCCTGCAAAATATTTATCGGTAGGTACTGTTTATGTGCCGGTGCGCCTCTATGCTGGTATAAAGTACACTTTATGGGCACTTTTTCGGCATCAATACCACTCTTGGAAACAGTGTTGCACTTTTTCCGCAATAGAATGGAAAAAATTCCAGTGTGGCACCAATGTCAGTTCGTTAAAGGGTACTTCCATTTCAGGTTCGTCCACCATTACGTTACCTCCGAGCCGCGAAGATCTCAATATTGCCATCGTGTAGAGCATAAAAAGTTAGCCGAACGTTAGACTTGGTTTTCAAAAAAACATGTGGAACATGGTTTTCCAGTGGTCCAAAGTTTTAGGGGTACTTTAGGATTTTCCTCTCAAACGCAAACAAAATCCTTGACTATTGCAGAGGAAACTATAGAAGCACAAAGCCTGAGTGAAATAGCGAAAGAATTAGCCCGATAGCTATCAGTGTTTTTGAACAGTGATCGATTTAGTGCAAAAAAGTTGGAAAGTTTGAGCTTATATATCTCAAAATCTCTCCGAAATTTTTTTCTATTTATTATCAGAATAGATACAGCTCATCGAGCTCTACAAAATGGCTGTAGCCGATTGTTCGAAAAACATCGTCTTTATTTGTCCGAAGAAAGTTATTATCGACATCCGCAGTATGACGTCACGCATATTAAAACAACTAAAAACCAGATCTTTAGATTTTGATTTAACACATTCACAGTTCCTAGCGCTTTTGGTTGTGGTTTCAAAAACACAAGTGTTATCGAGATTTATTTTGAATGTCTCTATTCTATGAGAAGAACATGATCGCATTTTCTTTAAGAAAATCATACCATACCAAGTAATGCACCATTTTCGAGAAACTAAGCCAGTAGATGCTGTATTATCACTACACGGTACATCGACATTTATGCGTCTGATGGTCTGCAAGATTTGATTTTTAACGAAATTCATTATGTTTCTATATAAGTAGATATCTGTGCTGGTAAAACTACTCCCAAGCCGGCTTCTCCTGTTTATCTAAACTATTATTATTATTAAACTTGGAAGCCGCTTTCATTTGCATATAAATAAAGCTAAGTTTTGTTAGATTTTGAGCTCGTCCAACATGCTATAAAACGAATGATATCAACTAGCGCGAATAAGGTCCTCCAGTCAAAAATTCTTTCCGAATGTCAGCGGAGAAAGTCTCATTTATGGATCGAAATATGCAACTTTGTATGCTTTTTCCAGCTAGCAGTATGAGAACGCTTCTTAGTATTAGGTAAGGTCGGATTTCGCTGTTCTGGCATCCGTAAAAACGCTTTAATTCAGAACTTATGGCCGAGGAAAAACCGTGTTCGGAATAATTTTTCCAAGAGGCGACAGGGGTCTTTACATACTTTCAGTAGGACTATCGATTGCATACATTCAAATCTTCCCGGCTTTAAGTCGTGTATAAAATGGGCGGACCTGTATGGAAGTACCCATCTTTCGTTTTATTCATAAAGTTTTATAGAGTTTAGACAAGAGTGATGGCTATATAGTTTTCAATTCTTTTTCAATTCTAAATTCAAGTTAATGAGCTAAAGAAGGTTATGGAAATTGTATCCCCATAACTAATTTGTTTTTCCTTTTTGATGAACAGGATTTTTTTACACAGAAACTATCTATTGTACAACATCTTTCGTAGAGAACAATCAAAAAATCTCTTTATTTTTATTATATAAACATATATAGATGCACATATACTCTGTTTTCTGGTTTGTATACAAAAAACCAATGTAGATTTTATAACAAAGAAGAAAAATAAAGGCTTTGCACAACTTTTTTTTAAACATACAGATGAAAAATTTTAGATGATAAAGACGATCAAGGTAGTAAAGCGAAAAACAAGAAAATATTATAATCAATCTCGGCTTTCTTCGGTATTTATTATCCGAATAGACACGATCAGAGAGCTCCAATTGTAGAGCAGACAATTCTGCACAAGATAAAATCATTTTTAAAACTTTCGACAGGCATTGAAAAATGCGATAGAAAAATAAAATTGACCAGTAAAACTCATTTTTATCCAAAACAGGAGGGGAGGAGATTCCAAATGAACTTTTTCGACCTACACGAACTATTTTATAGAAACTTAAAAGACTGATTTTCCTGACACATTTTTTGTGCTGATTTCGAATATGCTATTTGTTTTTGTCTAAAACCATTTTTCGATGGATAAAAATGAGTTTTACTGGTCAATTTTGATCTACTTGTCTACTTTATATCGCATTTTACAGCGCTTGTCGAAACTTTTAAAATTCTCAAAATGATTTTATGTTGTGCAGAATTGTCTGCTCTACACATTCAAGTAACTAATGGAGCTCTCTGATTCAATTTGAAGATTTAATTTCACGTCTTATGACAAAAAGTTATTTTTCAAAAAATAAAAATCGAAATATTCTGATTCCAGTTAATATGCAAACGTTTAAAAAAACAAAATAGCACGTTTTGTTCAATTTTTAATTCTCTATCGAATGGTATAGAATGCAAAAAAAATCTGACATAAACCGGCTGCATGTAAATCTGAATACTAGAAAGCTAAAATTGAGCTAAAATAGACGGCCTAAGTGTCCTCGAGACCATCTCCAGTCGAAAAAAACTTTGTCAGCCCCAAAATATGTACTGAATCGAATGAGGTCGATGTCAGAAAATTTTATTTTTGACTGTTCTCGATGACTTACTTCGTGCATGCCCTCTTAAGTATTCGCAACTGGTTGCTAACCGGGATTATTTAATTAAAACAAACAAAAACAATGGTTAAATAACACTAGAAAACAAATCGTACGACAGACTGATCTAAAACAGAAAACGTAATCAAAACAAAATAACAAAATTCACTAGTATTATAGTAGTAGTAGAAAAATAAAGCAAATAAAATTACCTATCCGTTGTAGAATGTAAAGAATTTTTTAAGATATGGAATAAGGAGAAACGGAAGAATGGTCACCATTGAATAATTCTAAATGTAGAGCATAGTAGTAATAAGGATGATCTAAACCATTATTAGAAATCAAATAAAAACGCAAAATAATAATACCTTTGAAAAAAATCAACATAAGAGCTTAATATTTCTCATTACTAAGTTGAGAATGAGTACGAGGTGTTAACATATAAACTTCTTGATGATGATCGCTACGACACACATTGGAACCGATACGACGAGCACTCTAAACAAGTATGAATACGTTTTGCTGTGACCTAGTAATTTGACTATCTTAAGTATTTACGTGATTCATCGATTGTTCGTCAATTTCTAACGATTCACTGTTATTTGAACGACGAGAATGACTATGTGAATCATGATGACGACCATAATTATTACCAGTAGGTAAATCATGATGATTTTGAGTAGTACCATTTACTGGATTGATTTTTCTCTAGTGAAAAAGAAATGTTTTTTTTTTTTTTTTAAATTATTTTTATTTTATGCAGTACAATAATCATACCTGATTTGAACAGATCTTAGCTAGATTAAATTTTTGCTGCAATGAGGATGATTGCTCTGAATGATTGTTGGCTATTTGTTGAAAACTGAACACAGTGCTATCAATACGCTTTTGCATGATATAATCATACGTTGATAAATTATTATAACCTGAATAAGGCGATTTATTCTAACTACTAAATGATTTTGAAGTTTGACACTTACATAAATAGATGTGAAAGGATAATAAATAAAGGATTAATAACAATACAGCAAACGAAATTGTTGCTACAATTGCACAAATGACTTGAAAGGCAATTAAAGAAGATGGTATCATTAATATAGCATATTTGTGATCTAAACGAAAAATGTCTAATTTTTTGGCTATAAATTAAAAGTATTTTGTCGCTTACCTTTATTATAAAACGGTTGTAGATTTAACAACGGATTCGTGTTGAATGAACCAACAAATTGTAATAAAGAACTTAAAAAGATAAATAATGCGCTAATAACAATTGTGATGAGCATGAACAAAAATATTCGATAATTTTTGCCTCCAACGCAGTTATTCAGCCTTTAGTAAGAAAAAAATAATAAATATTTATCTTTATTTCAGAAATTAGATAGATAGATTCTTACCAAATACAATGATGATCAAATTGATAGACACATTTATTACACGTTGAACAATGTTTTGCTCCCTCACCCCTACGAAAAAAAAACGAATATTGGAATACTTGAAAGCAGTGGTAGAGAAACTCTTCAAACTTATTTAAAAAAAAGGTGAGTGCACGGCTAGTTTAGACATGCAGAGATAAGTTCAAGACGATAACTGGATTTAGATTCCTTACACACTAACACCGCAAACATGGCAATATAGATCTGTAATAACGTGTGAATAAGTTTGTCGATCAAAGTCTGTTCTTGGTCTCTGACTTCTTGTAATAACATTATCTTCGGCTGGATCAATCCATGTGACAACAAGATATAGAATAATAAATGGAATCATAAATAAGCTTGAAATCTGAGAATGTTGATTAAGAATAATAAATAGTTTAAAAGGAATAGAAAAATCTATAGTGATTTCAAAAGGATACTACAATATTTAATTCTCTCCATGGACTTGGTATATTTACACATAATGTTAAGTAATTCATAAGGACGAGAAATAAAATGACAAAAAATGCCAGAACTTGAACAGAATGAAGTGGACACGAATATCCATTTGTTCTTCGCCTATCTGATGTCCCTATTGCCATCCATTCACTCAATGAAGAGGAAAAATAATCTAAATGAATATGAAATTATATTGAAAACAACTGATTGTCTCAAGCGTAGAACTCAATCGAATCAATTAACAAATAGCTTATAATGTTCGTCTTAATGTAATTAGTAAAACAATACAACGAAAATTAAACATTCTATTTACTCTCTTAGATAAGAATGTACGTTTGTAGATTCTATTCCATCATTCATCTAAATGTAATTTATGTTTTTTTGCTTTTATTCTCTTCTTATCCTTTCTGTGTGTTGACAGTAAAGCGTTGACAACTGTTCAAATACTCAAATGATAGATATGATAAAATTGTATTATAGATGAAATCGGCAATCAAGGTAAACAAGGAAGAAAAAAATTTATAGAATGTATATAGACATAGAATAGTTTTGGCATTACGGTATATAGATTTCTCAATATGTGACTGTTACGTATAATCGTATATACAACTATCTCTTTTGAGTTTAGTATTTGAATTGACTTTTTCTCTCTCAAAACAGGAGAATCGACGATTCTTCGACACTCATACTCAACTTGTTACTAATTGCACTCATTTTTCTGTTATCATTTCCTATAGCAACGTTGGATTAGTCTTTCAAAATGTCTTTAATTGAGCAACAGCGCCTGATAACGATGTTTCAATTTACTAAAATATTCGTGTAGGTCTACGTTGCGTTTTGACAAAGAGTAATGAAAAAAAACGAAATATGCCTTTGCATAAAGGATCCCTAGTCCAACATCTTGAAACCAAGATCTTGTCCAAGATCTTACGTTAAGATTTGGCACTAGATCTTGAAAAAATGGGTACAAGATCTCAGGACATTTTTGTACTCAAGATCTTACGCAAGACCNGAACATTTGAAAAATCGTCATATTTCAAAACTAACTTTTTTTCTTTGCATTTTTTCAACAAGTGTTGGGAACAAAAGAAATTTACCGCTCAGTGGTGAACATTTCATCCGCTAGGACGAACGGTTCCTAATGCCTCCCTGATGGAGTTTTGACTCAGCTGTCGACTAAAATATAGTAACACTAGACACAAAATAGAGTGTTCATATATAGGATGACATCGCCAAAATAAGACGGTGAATGATAACCTATGGTTACTCAAAGATCTTTGGTACAAGATGTCAAAATATTTCTGTATCAAAGATCTTGAGCCATGATCTTGGGTACAAGTCATTTTACAGTCAAG